CAGAATATACTTTGTTTTGTCTATGTTTAAAGTTAATTTATTACATTTAAACCAGTTAGAGATAAACTTAAGTTCTTTATTCATTTCGTAGAACAGTTTTGTAATGCTACGGTTTGATATAAATAAATTTGTATCATCAGCAAACATGATATTTTTTAAGTTTGATACTTTATTTATATCATTTACATAAATTAAAAAAAGAAGAGGCCCGAGAATCGAGCCTTGAGGAACACCGCAAGTTATTTGAGTCATTTCGCTTTGGCGTCTGTTATTGACGGGGACAAATTGTTTTTTATTTGTTAAATAACTTTTATACCAATTTAAAAGATTGTTATTTATTCCATTATATTTGAGTTTTTGCAGTAAAATCTCGTGATCAACGGTATCAAATGCTTTTGATAGATCAATAAATACCCCTAATGTGTATTGCTTTCTATCGAAAGACTCAGAGATTTGCCGGACAAATTGTATAAATGCGTGTTCCATTGAAATGCATTTTTTAAAAACCAAATTGATTATTATTTAACAGTTTATTATCATTAAGATATTTATATGTTCTATTGTAAATAATTTTTTCTAAAATTTTTGAAAAAGCTGGGAGAATAGAAATGGGGCGGTAGTTACACACATCTGTTTTGTCACCATTTTTGTAGATTGGAATAACCTTTGCAATTTTTAATTTATCCGTAAAAATCCTTTGTTTTAAAGATGCTTTAAAGATTTTGAAAAGTATATCTCTTAGGTTTTCGTAGCAATCTATAATTATGTTACTATTTATTTCGTCGAAGCCAGTAGCTTTATTTCTTTTAAGAGATTTAAAGGCTATGTCAAACTCCTCGGGAGTTAGTTCAATTGATAATTCATTGGTTAGTATTTAGATTGTGTCTAGAGGATAAAAAGCCTATAAATGAGTTATCGGGAGTTGGAATTCTGTTTGAAGGTTTTTTTCCAATTTCTGTAAAGAAATTATTAAAATTTTTTGCAATTTCACAAGGTTCGGAAATAATTTTGTTTTCAAAGTTAATAGTGTTTGGCAGGGAGTTTGAAGATATATTTGATTTTCCAATTAATTCTTTTATTATATTCCAAGTGCGCTTTGAGTCGTTTTGAAATTTTTTAATAAAATTTGAATAATAGATTTTTTTCAAGTCTTCCCAAAGATATTTTTATAATTCTTATATATTTTTTCATTTGCAGAAGATTTTATTTTTAGATATTTAATATATAATTTTTTTTTTGTCCTGGAGGATTTCTTTAGTCCTTTTGTAATGCAGGAACTATTTAATGATTTAGTATTTATTCTTTTTTCGCAAACTGGAAAGTTTGCGTCATACACTGAGCAGAATGTTTCAAAGAATTTATTATAAATGTTGTTTGCATTATCGTTATAGTCAATATGCTCCCAATGTAGTAGAGATAACTGAGACTTGAACAATTCGAGATTTTTTTTGGTAAAACAACGCTTTCTAGTAATTTTATTTGTTGTTAAAGTATGCGTTGATCCGGCATTAAATGTTAAGAAAATAGGAAAATGGTCTAATAAATCAGTTTTTACAATACCCGTTTGAATGCTGTAATTGAAAATGTCTGTTGTAACAATATTATCAAGAGTTGATGTGTTTCGTGTTACCCTAGTTGGACGATTTATCAGCGGAATCGCTCCGGTTGTAAATATTTCATCATAAAATTTTTTTACTTTATAATCATAATTGTATAGTAAACAATTCATATTTAAATCTCCTATTATATAATTTTTTTTCTTTTCATAATTTCCTTTGTTAATTATTTTTTGTTGTAAATACAAGCTAAAATTTTCGGACGCACCATCAGGTGGCCTGTAACAACAGCTTAACAGAATATTGTTTCTTTTTTTCGCTTTGTTGAAAATTTCAATGGTTACGATTTCTTTATCGCCGTCAGAAACGCTCAAATCATTCCTAATACAATGTGCAATGGTATCTTTTATATAAATCAGAACTCCTCCACCGCGTTTATTTGTTTGCCTCTAATGAAATTGTTTCAAAATTAAAAAGATGAAAATTAGAACTATTTTTTGTATCTTTCGCGAAAGACATAAAAAATAGTTCTAATTTGTCGAATTCGACTAACACCAAGTTTCTGTTAAACAAATAATAGCAAAGATATTTTTAGTTTCTTCTAAAAAATTGTCGAAATTTTTCAAAGTTTTTATTTAAACTTCTTATATTAATGTGGAGGAGTCTAATTTGTTTACAGTTTTTATTTTTTTCATTTTTAAAAAGAAATTATTTTATTTTGTTAGGATAATGATACAAGCACTCTCTGTGCATATCATTAAAAAAAATTAACATCCGGGTCAGAGTTTTCATCTGATTTAATGCATTTGTCATAAAAGTCAAATGCGGGTAGATCGAAATCACCCATCATTTTTCTTTATATATATATATATATATATATATATATATATATATATATATATATATATATATATATATATATATATATATATATATATATATATATATATATATATATATATATATATATATATATGTATTTAATTCAAAAGAATTTATTTTTATTTATTTTTAAGGACGCGTAACAAGTTTGTTATATACGACTCTAGCAAACTTACCGGCGTTTCGTAGATCTTTGGCTTCCGCAAAAAGAATTTTTCTTTTTTTAATGTTTCGATCGCTAAAATCGTCGTTTAGATACAATCTTTCGTTCCATAGCTTGAGTCTTCTATACTGCTCCAGTACTTTTTCCTTGTCTTTGTAGTTTAAAAACTTTGCAAAATCTTGTCCGTCTTTTTTTTTGCCAGGCTCTTCGTTCCTTTTTCCAGTTCTGTGTGCTCTTTCACACAGTGCACACAGAACTTTCCAGTTGCAGTTTCCAGTGCACACAGCAACAGTTTCCAGTGCACAAAGAACTTTCCAGTTCTGTGTGCATTCACCCCATGTTAATTTCTATAAGTCTAAATTTTTTGGTGTTTTAAAAAACTCTATTATGTCTGAAATTTAGCGCAAGTCTGAATAATTTAGTCTCTTAAATCTGTTTGGCATTGTCTGTCTTATAACATCTTTACTTGGAACAAAAACCATGTGCTTTAAAAGTGAGCTAGAAGCTTTCACCCATGTAGAAAATATTGCAATGGCTAATCCTAAAGATATTTTAAACCTGTCAGCAAGATCAGTTGTCAATAGTCCAAGTCTTAGCATCATTAAATATTCATCTTTGCTGCATAACTTTTATTTTGGTCCAAACAGTTTAGGATTTTTTTAAATTTCAAAAAACAGACGTAGATGTTTTTTTAACATCACTTTATCTTCTTTTGATTAATGATGATACTGCACTATACAACTCATGAAACACACTAACAGATGTAAGGCCAGTATAAAAGTCGCAAGGTCTATTTTTTTTTTAATGTTTGTATACAAGCAAATTGCAATAACACGATTTGCTTGGATTATGTTTATATACAAATTTGTCTGGTTTCATAGTAATAACTGATGTGGTTGAAGTTAATTTTTCATATAAATCTTTTTTTTTTTCAATTTCGTGCTGAAGTTCTTTTTATAAGTTATCAATTTTCTTTTTTAATTCTTGATGCTTTATTAAAAAACAAAGCTTAACATTAAATTCAACATAATTTGATGGATTATTGTTTTGAAAAAGTTGTATTGTTTACATCTAATAATATAACTCCTGCTTCAATGTCAATCGATATAATTATGGTAAAATATAACTGTTAAAATATTATAATATATTCTACGTAATATATTTTTTATGTATGACAAACGTTTTGAATAACATTGGTTTTATTTTTACACAGTATACATATTATTGTATTTGATTGGTCAATTAAGTGAATGAATCGCACTTAGTATTTTGACAAATCAAAGAAAAAGTTTTGGATTATAAAAGAGTAACTTTTTGTTTAACGGTAAATTGTCTTAACCCTAATTCCAGTTTACATTAATATCTAGACAAATTTTTGTTTGATTTTGATTTTGTAAGGACTAAGCAAATGTTATTATAGCCGTGCCTTTATTTATTCATCGGTGCTTTACTTCTTTTAGAAAAAGATGTCATCGTAGATTATTAATAGATTCTAATAAATTTAGGAAAATTAAAGATTTTATGCAACCTTTCAACCTCAATTTTGTTTTCTACCTACATAACTATACAGTAAGCAATAAAAACATTAAACTATAAATACATTATACTAATAAACTGAATAAATTAAAAAAAAAAAAATTGAATATAAACACACAATTTAAATAATAGTTCAATAATTCTGTAGCATCAAAACGACTAGGTAAATAAGTAGACAGGAAATAAATGAAAAATCATATTTATTCTGCAATACTATGTGCTTTTTTTGGCCTAACTAAAAATAATGAAAAAATAATGCGTTATCAAATATCAATATCATGCTGAAAGAATATTAGTTTTTAAAATAAAAAGAAATAATAAAAAAGACACTCGTTGTTGAAAACATTTTAATCTGTAATAAAAGTTTTTTAAATTTTAGTAAAATCAGTGCCTATTTTTAGAAATTATATATATAAATATATATATATATATAAAATATATATATATATAAAAAATATATATATATATAAAATACATATATATATATATATATATATATATATATATATATATATATATATATATATATATATATATATATATATATATATATATATATATATATATATATATATATATATATATATATATATATATATATATATATATATATGCCTGAATAGGCCTGAATGCCTCGCTGACTGAATGCCTTCTCTTTTAAGGTTGAAAATATTTATATTTGAAAACATCACTTATAGTGGTAATGACACATATGTGAACTAAAGCTTTTGCAAATTAGATCAATTAAGTATAATAATTATATTTTTATATAATAAATAGAAAATAATAATATATAATAGTATAGAAAATAATAATATATAATAACATAGAAAATAAAAATATAATATTATAGAAAACTGATATTTGAACTGAAAATGGTTTTAAATAGAAATTTGTATATACATTCAAAAATTTATATTTATGTAACTTTTTAACATTTATCTCTCGGCAATTCTATTTTTTCTATCCAACCTCCTTTTAATAGGACGCATGCTCCAGAATAATTGATCCCAATCAAAATAACACCCATTGAGTACGCGACTTGCATTTGAGTCATTAACTAAAAATGCCGATCGTCCATGTAATATTCTTCGATTGTGAAACGTAACTATTTCACCTGCAAAAAGTGGGGATTATTTTAAAATATGAAACACTTTAACACTAGATTTTGGATATAACATATAGACACAAGATTTTGGATTCATAGAAGAATTTTAAATGTTTTAAGACATGTAAAAAACAATACTCTAAATAAAATAAAAATCAATTTTTTAAAGTTAATCTTAAAGTAAATCAATGGAATTAATTTCTAATTGTATACCTTTATTATTCTTATTTGTTTATATGTATATATATGTTGTTATTCTTATTTGTTAATTGATATAAATTTGCAAATTGAAATAAATACAAATAGCAAAAACTATTCTAATTTTTGCTATTTCTATTTATATCAAATAGTAAAAATTAGAGTCCATAAATGTCTAAAAAAATTTTGGACTTCTTTCAAAACAAATTAATTTTTAAATTATAACTTTAACGAAGTGTTATTAGGCTGCGAAGAACAAAAAAGATTTTCAAATTATATATGAGATGAACATACCTTCGGAAAGTTTGTATGAACAAATATGGTTTGGATCACATATAAGTGCTGTAAAATCATAATAAGCTTTGTAGTACTTTTGTATTTCTTCAGCGCTACCATTAATTGTGTAATCCCGAAGCCAATTGCTGTAGTCTATAGCCTTCACAACACCATTTTCAGTCCTTCAAAGAAATTCAAACCTTTCCCATTAGACACTGTAAAAAATAGCTAATTTATATTTATAAACATTATTTGCGCAAAAACAGTTGACCACAAACCAAATCACTAATTATTTAACTAAATATCTCAGTAGTCCTATATACTATCCCACTATAAAATATACCCGATAACAGGTCTTTGGTAAAACGTTTCAAATTCTCCAAAAATGTCCGTACCAATATCTCTGTACGTCACGTTTTGCTTTGTAAGAGAAAGAAATGATTCTGGATTTTGTTGCTTTAGCTTTTGTGCAATATAAAATCCGTCAGTGAACGTTGTATCACCTCCTTCACCTGAGTACTGCTTGATGCAATGTAATGCTTGAATCTATGATTGGAAGTTGATATATAAAATTAATAAAACAAATATTGAAGGGTAAAATGTGTAAAAATATAATTAATGCATCACTTACACCAGGTGGATAACAATAATGCGGTAAATCAACGTGAGGAAGTATTTTCTCCGAAGTATATGCAAGACTAGCAGGGTTTGGTTTATAAACAACATCAAATGTATGACTAAATGTGTAAAATATAAGAACAAGACAATAAAATACATGTCCAGAAAAAATGAACACAATTTAAAAAATTTCTTACCCATAATGTGTACTTTTAAAGTATCCACCAAATATCCTTTTAACTCTCTCTAACTCCCCTTTTTCTTTTTTAGCCCCTGTAAACAAGACTACTCCAAATTCACACAAACTTTGAAACCAAGCATACCTAGTTTCTTCATTTAGTAATACAGTGTCTAAATTATATCGAGGGATATCACTTAAAGTAGCCCAGAGTGTCGGTTTTATATGAGATATGTCACTATATTCATTTTTTCTTCTTTCCAATAAAAACTCATGTGTAAATGCTGTTACATGACTATCGGACCATTTAAAATGAACATGGCTTAAAGTAATATCAATAGATATCGGCTTTATATTAAGTGGTATTTCTCTATAAGTGTCAATACGACGTTGCTTCGAATCACTGTTGAAACATTTGTTGCAAAGACAGCAATCTCTTAAGAAAATACTGGAGTGCCGGCTTGTAACTTTATCATCCCAATGAATTTCGACTATATTTTGTTTTTCATCTATGCTATAATTAAGAGGCTTAGCATGTTCTTTAAAAGAGCTGTAAAATTTTCTCTTTGTTAAGAAATATTTTGATTTAGATACGGTTAAAACTTTTGTTTTACTTCTATTAGTATCAGAAAAGAGAAATTTGATTTGTCGAACAGATCTAGCTAACATTCTACTCGCAAATAACGCAATTTATAAATTTCTTACGAACACTAAGAAGTTCTCGAACACTTTTTTTCATTCATATAAAATTCTAAAAAAAATCTTAAATTTTTTATTAAATATTTCAAAACAATGTTCCCTACCGCTCTAATGTTTACTCTAAATTATAAAAACTGTAGTTTCTTAAGGTCCGCCAAACAATTTAATTATTTATTCAAACCTCAATGCTACTGAAAAAGCCAAATTATATCGACATTTAAATAGTTTATTTAGCAAAAAAAAATAAAAAATAAACGGTTGTATTTTTTTTTTTAAATCTGAAATTTTCAATATATTTATATAAATAAAATAAAACAAAAGCATCAGTGTTTTATTTAAAATATATAAAGTTTCAGTGTAAAACGCGTTTAACTATTTTATGAATAACAAAAATTCCATAACAAAAAATTATGGTTTTGTTAGGAAACTTTTATTGTGATTTTTTCAAAACATTTTCTATTGATATTAAACAACTCATCAAAATACAAATAAATGGTTTCAACTTTGATAACAGCTAAAAAAAATAACAAAAAACACATTATTGTATCTTCAAAAACACATTGTTGTATCTCCAAAAAACCATCAGCTCAATATATATAAAATACTTTGTTTTTAACAACCTCTTTTAAAAACTATTTAGCAGATTTTAATTTCATTGTTTCTGGTTCCCATGGTCTTGGACCGCGTATTTGATCTCCGTTCCACTCTCCAATTTTACTTGAAAGAGACTAAAATAAGTAAAGCTTAAAGTAATCTTGAAATTTTAAAAATCAATAGCCGGAAATCCTAAATACTACATAAAACTCCCTATAACTTCTTAACTCCTTAAATAAATAAACAATTTAATGTTCGTATAAATTCTGTCATCCCGAGTGCATAATAAAATCTTATTTTATATTTGTTATTTTTTAAACCTCGATCGCGATGTAGTTAACGCATTTTGACTTTATAGGATATAGAAAAAAAAGAAAAAGGAAAAAATAAAATGCGACACTAATGACAAAACTCTAGTAGAAACGATAATAATTAAAACATGACTAACGCCTAACTTTACTAAAACAAATACGCAAGGTAATATGCAAATAAAAAATAAAGGCGTGTTAATCCAACTTAAATTTGTGTAATGAAAATTAAAGACCTCCTCCTCAGCGCTTTAAATGTACAATTAATGTACAAATGTACATTTTGTCAGGTACATGGTAAAAAACCATGTAGTTGATAAAATTATCATAAAGTTATATTCATTTAACAATTTTGATTTAAACGGTGATGAAATAAACGATTTTGAAAACTAAAATGCTTAACACAACAAATGTAATCCGGCAAAAAAAATTTAGTGTGGGTCATGCGGCATTAAATGCTAACCATTCTTTATAGAATAGCGTTGATATGGGTGATGTGTAGTATAATGCTAACATCACCTAAATAGAATAATCATCAAAGCCACACATGGCTCTACATTACCGCCTATTAAGTTTAAATTAACCACATCAAATTTTCTTTTCGGAAGATAAAAAAAACTTTTATAAAACTAAATACGATTAACCTTTAAATTTCAATAATTTCTTTTTCTTATCAATATTATTATTTTTTTGTTTAGATTCTCAGGGAAATTTGCATTTTGTAACCTAAATTTTTATTACTATTAAGTATTGAATTGATATATATATATATATATATATATATATATATATATATATATATATATATATATATATATATATATATATATATATATATATATATATATATATATATATATATATATCTGACCGACCTTCAGACCCTAGCGTGAGGAACAAATAGCAATACATAGTCTGTTTGGTTATTTGACTATTTTTTATTGAGGGGATTAGAGCAATTTTACAGGAATACAGTGGCTTAGCCTAAAACTTTGGAATGAAATAAAAAGTATTTTTTATAGAAAAAAAATATTTACTAACATAAAGATTAAATTTAAATAAAACTATAAAGTATATATATACATATATATATATATATATATATATATATATATATATATATATATATATATATATATATATATATATATATATATATATATATATATATATATATATATATATATATATATATATTAAAAGGCATATGTGACATATAAAATATATATACTTTATAAGACACTCTGGTAAAGTATATTGTAAACAGATTACTATTTACAAATATAAACACGTAGTTAGTGTTCTCAAACAAATTTTTAAACAAGCGCTTTGAAACTTTACATTCATATTCATGAGAATATTTTCATTTTAGTTAAATGTAGATTTAGTTCTGGCTTGAAAATAATAAATAACATAAATCTCTCCATTTACCCTAATTTTGACATCTACATTCTCTGATATAAAAGATCTATGTTGTAAACTGTTATTTAAAAATTATAAAATTATTAAATATAACAATTCTTACAATATTCTAAACGATAATAAAGTTAAGTCATTTAATGATCTTTTATTTTATTTTATCAACTTTCAACATTGAAGTATAATACTATATTAATAATATATATATATATATATATATATATATATATATATATATATATATATATATATATATATATATATATATATATTTTTTTTTTTTAAGGTGTTTTTAAAAAATGTCAAAAAAAAAGAGCCCAAGCTTATCATCTGCCCATGATGACCCAATGATGCCCATGATGACCCAAACCATAATTTAATACTAAATTTTTTTTTTTAATTTTTAAAAATTCTAAGGGTTCTATCAGGGGTTAAAAGAGACATTTTAAGGGTGTTTGTACTACTTTTAAAACTGTTTGTAGGAAATCTTGACATTAAAACTTTTGATTTGTTTTTTTATATTTATGTTTGAAAAGACTTATTTAATCTAAATAAAATGGGCTATATTCTCAGAAAAAATTTATAAAAATTGTTTCAAAAAACCCTAAAATCCATAAATATTTAGTAAAGCTCATAAAAAATACAAAATATTTTAAAAATATTCTTGAAACTCATAAAAGTACATTATTTTATTTATTTTTGATACAGTACAATATGGATATCTCACTTATAATCAGCTTCAGGTATTTTTCTGGGAAATATAAGAGAGGGCCTGGACAGGGAAAGAAAATATATTTTTTGTAATCAATAGTGAAAACCATACGTTTTTTCTTAAACTAAAAAAAAAAAAAAAAAGGAATTAATTAAATTATAAAAAATTTCAAATCAGTAGTAAAGTTTCTTTTAAATTAAAATACAGCAATCCAGTAAATTTATGATTTTTTTTATTCTTTCTTAAAGAGGTGATAATAACAAAAAAATGTACATAATAAACTAGACTTTATTTGTGTTTGTACTAGCGGCTTTTTCATAATCTATTTTATTCTTCCCTTTTCTGTTTTTCTTGTAACTATTTGTAAAGAGAAAGGTGTCCTGCTTTTTTTCCTCAGAATATGCTTTATTTATTAGGTCTTAACTGCCCTTTCAGAACAGTCATTAACAACATCAAGTCCCTGAACTGTTACTCAAAATTCTAGAGAAAAATCGTTAAAATCCATTGAGTTTCTGCTTTTCCATGCCTAAGCATGTCAAAAACTAGTCACAACTTTTCTGTTATTAATGGCGTTAAACTAGGAGGCTTGTTTTTACTGAAGTTGAGGCTATTTGGTATAGCTTAGTCCATTACCTGGCGCTTCTAAGGAAAAATGTCACTTGGACATCTTTGTAAACTATACAGTTTTTTGGCCATATCACCGCATTCCCTGCATTCTTTATCTGCTAGAGCAATAACTACTAAAGTGGAATCTAGATACAAAGTATGTCTGAGAATAGAGCTTGCAACAGTTTGAGAGCTAAATAGATTCCATTCTTCAAACTTTTTCATTTGCCAGTAAGCTTTCATATTCTAACAAATAATATTAACTAATATTTTGAACTACTTTAATCAATAATGAGCTTTATTAAAAATTTAAACTAACTTTAAAAATTTTAAAAATACGTATGTTGGTGCCAAATAACTTAACTCTGCTTTTAGAAACCACTCTGTATAGAAAAGATAAATGAATAAAGCCATACCAGTTATTTCTTTTTTATGTTTGTCAGTCAGGTTTTGGATTTCATTCATTGATAGATACAACTTTAATTAGTACAAACCTCTTCCCATAAATCTTGAATGGTGAACTGGTCCTGGTAAATGAAATTTAAACCTCCAATTTAAAATGATAGAACCAATAATGTAAGTTCACCTAGCTCATGGTAATCTTTTCTTATATTTAAAAAAAAGTCCTAAAAAGTTTTGGTAAGTCCTAAAAGGTTTTGGATATATCATAAATTTGTAACAAATGTTACTTTTTAAAAATTATAATTAATAGAAATAAAATGAATAAAAATAAAAATATCACCTTTTTGAAAATTTTTAAACTGATCACATTATCACAAACTGAACAACAGCTAGTTTTTGGTTATATATCCATGTTGCAGGTGGTTATCATTCTTTTCAGTTCTTTAGTTTCAGCATCGATGATTCCAGTTTTGTTTTAGAACTTCAAATAGTTTGTTTTCTGGACCAGAAGTTTCGCTGCTTGGGTAAATCTTCCAGAGTTGGGCTACGTGTCCCTCATTTACATGATGTCTACATGCAATCAACAACAATGGACGTTGAACTTAATAAATTAATCTCATGCAAGTACCTTGCCATTTTCCTGTATTTGCTAAAGTTGTATCTTTTAATCCAAAAAATTCCATCAATTCTACAATAGCTTGCTTTTGATTAACCCCTGAACCAAAATCTATCAGAGGATAGTAGAAACTATTGGAGGATAGAAGAAACTATCAGAGGATAGTAGAAACTATCGGAGGATAGTAGAAACTATCGGAGGATAGTAGAAACTATTGTAGGAATGCCAAGTAGTTCTGTTTTTGCATCAATCCCTACCAAAACTGCAATTCTTTTTTAAATTGCTTCCCCTCTGTTAATTCATTAACTATTTTTTCATCAAAGTGTATAGTCATTAGTGAATCTGATGATATTGCAGTATTTTTTATGTATTCTTTTATTTTTTTAGCCCTGACAGATATTATGTTCTCTGCAGCTCTATAAGATGTGGATTTAGAACCTTTAAAGTTTGATACAGAACCACCAGCCATGACAATAACATTTGTAATCAATGCTGTATGTTGGTGGGGTGTTATACCTTCTCCCACTGCTGTATGAGCGGTTGACTGAAGAATATTTTTAGGAAGAAGAATAGAACTTTGAACATTAGGATGCACATTAAAATCAAAGCCAACATCTGTTTCCTCCCCTAATTTGTTGCTAGTATAACTAGTAGAACTTAGATAATCTAAATTATTCTTATTCTGCTGATGAATTTCTATTTAACTTTGTTGTGCATCTTTTAATTCTTACTACAGAATACTCACATCTTTTATCTCTACCTCCAAGACATCCTTTTCTTTCACTAAGCTGGTCTTTTAAGAAAGCAATATCTGAAAACAATACAATTAACATTCATATATTTAAAATATGACATTGAGAAGAAAAGATTCTATTCAAGCAATAAGTCAGCTACTCCAAGTGATGTCAATTGTATGAAAAATAAAAAATAAAAGAGAAAAACTGACGTTTACCTAACCAATTCACTAAAAAGAATCTCTTTTTGGTAAGAGTAAGCAGAAAGTTAACAAGTAAATTTGTTTAAGCTGTCTTAATAGATGAGTTCTGTTAATTAAAAATATATCACAAAAAT